AGTTGATCATCATTAAATACAATTTTGCACTCGATTTGTAAAGAAATATGTATTTACATGTAACAGTCCCATTGCCAAGTGCATGGTGCAATGTGCCCCCTATTGTGTAAAGCATAAAAAGGGCACTTGAAGGATTTTTCAGAAGTCCTATGGTAATTCTGCTGTGTTGATGTTCTCTGATCCTCGGGTCGTGCTGCTCTGATATTATTTTGAAAGTACAATGATAGTACATTTACAAAAAGACAAATATTGGAACAGTTTAGCACATTCGGTTTTGGGATGGAATTTTTTTTTTATATATACATACATCTTTAATTAATGTGAATAACGTTCTAAGTTAAAAGTGGCCCTGGAAAATATAATTGTGATTTAACTTTTCAGACATCTGTCGATTGGACGTGAAGGAATTTGTTTTCTTATGTTGGAAACTGGTTAAGTTTATTTCTTATTGTGTTTCTTAGGCTTTTCTGGATGGAGGTGGGCTGAAAGGGTCAGCTCTAATGCCCAAGAAGGCTTCCAGCATGCCCAAGCCACAGTGGCATCCACCATGGAAACTCTACAGGGTGAGTCAAGTTTTCTGCATTTGACACCTTTGACAAAATCACCTGGAACGTGCCCGGTCTCTTCAGAATTCAGAAGCTAAGCTGTACATTGATTTTATGGACGGTCCTCTAGAATAAAATAGGTATGGACTGCTGCTGCAGGGCTAAATTATCGGAAGCATTGGGCAGTGAAGCAAAATACATTATTGTACTGTAGTGTGTTGCCACGTCTGCTCCGCACCATCGCCAACCCGCCCTAACTAACATGCAGCAAGGTCAATTCATCCCCATGACCTACACGGTGTGCGGAGATCCTTGTCAAGTTGTGTATTGGCAAAAGTATTGTACATGAACATAGGTGTGCGTATTATTGCTGTTCTATTCTACTTTTGGTTTTTGATGTGTGCCGTGTAATAAAATCCATGTTTTGTTCCAGGTTATCAGTGGCCACTTGGGTTGGGTACGAAGTATTGCTGTTGAGCCAGGAAACCAGTGGTTTGTCACAGGGTCTGCTGATCGGACTATCAAGGTAAGTTCCGATTTATATTGTGTTCAAACTCTTTGTACAAATGCATGTTTAAAGGCGACTACAAAAAGAGCGAGTTGCCGATTGACGTTTGGGTTGTTTGTGTGCACACGTACAGATTTGGGAGCTTGCTACGGGGAAGTTAAAGCTCTCACTAACGGGGCACATCAGCACAGTGCGTGGAGTGGCAGTCAGCTCCCGCAGCCCCTACCTCTTCTCTTGTGGCGAAGACAAGCAGATCAAGTGCTGGGACCTGGAATACAACAAGGTAACCTTCGGCTATGTATGGAGCACGATTACTTCGCAACCAGTACAGAAAAAAAACTTCTCACCACCAATAAATGAAACTGCAGTTCTTTGGACACATCAATAGATCCAACAAACTATTCAAATCCATTGTATAAGTCAAAGTAGCAATGTTGTCCAAGGGAGACTTGGAGTCAGAGCATCTCAGACTTGATGGGCTTAAACTACAAGCAGCTGAGTCATGATTTTTTAGGACTGGGAAAGGTGTAATTAAGTCACTAGCAGAGCAGCTAAGGAGTTCTGCATTGTATACACATACACTCATGTGATGCTGTAAATGTATCGAATGTTCTAAGTCAAGATGTTTTATAAGAGCAGTGTCTAAGAGAAATGTATTTAATGCCCAAAGGTGATCAGGCACTACCACGGTCACCTTAGTGCCGCTTATGCACTGGACCTGCATCCCACCATCGATGTCCTCGTCACTTGCGGAAGAGATGCAACCGCTCGGGTGAGTGTCTTGCAAATGCTGGCATTTGTGCTCAACGGAAACATTTACACATAACAAGGAAACCTGAACGAGCTGTGTGGTGTCATGTTAAAACGACCTTGCTGTGTCTGTCCTCGCTGTGGGTGTGGTACAGGTGTGGGATATCCGTACCAAAGCCAACGTTCACACGCTGACTGGTCACACCAACACCGTGGCAGACGTCAAGTGTCAGGCTGTAGAGCCTCAAATCATTACTGGTAAAAGGAGCCATCTTCTCAGCTTTTTATTTTATTTTAAAGCAATGCCAGTCATGGGTGCCTTAATCTTGGGATGACGTTTTCTCGTTTGTAATCTCGCAGGCAGCCACGATTGCACGGTGCGTCTGTGGGACTTGGCAGCAGGAAAGTCGCGCGTGACTCTGACCAACCACAAGAAGTCCGTCCGCTCTGTTGTGCTGCACCCTCGGCAGTACGTACCAAAACAAAACATGAACCCTGAACCATTGACCTGTTGTACCGACTCGGGGAAGCCTACGTTTAAACTTACGCTTTCTTTTTGATTTAAAGCTTTCGTGACTGCATGGATTCATCTTCTTGGTTCTTTCGGTAAAGTCACGTAGAAGGGAAATAATAAATAATATTTTTTTATTTTATTGTTTAACTTTTATTATTTTATTATTTCCCTTCTACGTGACTTTACCGAAAGAACCAAGAAGATTACGCTTTCTTCTTCTCCTCCTTCATCCCAGGTACACATTTGCTTCCGCTTCACCCGACAACATCAAGCAGTGGAAGTTCCCGGACGGGGTGTTTTTTCAGAACCTGTCTGGCCACAATGCCATCATCAACTGCCTGGCCCTCAACTCTGATGGAGTGCTGGTGTCTGGAGGTGAATTCGATTTTGAAATACTTAACACTGGCGTCAACGTTCGTGTTGCTTAGTTACCATTAGCTGTGTTTACTTGAGCTAGGTACACTACACTTTTTTTCCACAACCAGGATTACCCCCACACTACGCTATGTACCCCAGCGTCGTAAGTTTGAGTCCCAGCTACAGCTAACATCGGTGATGAGTGATATCTGAGCCTGTGCTGAGCCGCCTCCCCCACACTGACCAGCACGGTGTGGCTTTGATTAAGCAAAGCATTGTGACAAAAGGCTGTAAAAATTCAACCCTCGACCCAACAAAAACCAGCATTGAGCCCCACCAGTCTTGTCCGACGAGTTGACGGTGCGACCAGTTGAGTGCGTGTAAGGAGATACTAGGGTAACAAACCATTGCACCAAATCTCAAATTTACCGTTCAGAGCACGTGATTCTAGCATGACGATAATTAAGCTGTAGCAGAAAATATTTTGCTTCGTATTACCCTACTTGTATGTCCTGCACTTAATTGCGAATAATACATTACTTGGAAATACCTATATAAATGCAATGCACAGTAATGTTTATAACTTTGTTGAGAATTTTTTCATCTACAATAGTATGTACTGAAGTTACATTTGTAAATGAGTAGGATTTGGATTAATACTAGCCATGTAAAGTTTCAAGTACGTAATTTGGGATATGTGTAAGTACCTCACTGCTACAAAAATCCTCTGAAAACAGGCTGTTGGGGCAAGTCCTATTAGCAAGCATCTATTAAGGGATATGCATATGCTTTTGTATCGTACTAATTATAATTTACTGGAAACATTGGCCCCGCATGGTGCTGTAAGGTCACATTGCTTGTCACAACCTTATTTCAGCTGGATTATCTGAAACTGCTGACTTGAATCACAGCTTGGTGGGGGATATCAAATGTTTAATTTGTCGACAGGACGCACTTGTGCCCCAGTTATCTGGGACTCTTCGCAACAGTTTTAAGTTGTTTGATTCTTCAGAAAGTATTGCTCCTGGTAGCTGATGCTTGCAACCGTTGTGTATTGTGTTTAGTTTTAATAGTGAGCTTTGATTTTTTATATTTTTTCAAGTCAAACTCTTCTGCTAAGAACCGAGGATTTGGATAAACTTGTCTGCACATTTTTTTGTAACTAGCCGACAATGGGACGATGCACCTATGGGACTGGCGTACGGGCTACAACTTCCAGCGCATTCACGCAGCCGTGCAGCCGGGCTCCCTGGACAGCGAGTCAGGGATATTTGCGTGCGCCTTCGACCATTCCGAGAGCCGCCTCATCACGGCTGAGGCTGACAAGACCATCAAGCTGTACAAGGAAGATGACACCGCTGTGAGTAGACGCTTCTGTTTTGTGCTGACAACAAACCCCTGTTATCCAAAAGCAGGGGTGGGGAACCTTTTCCTTACCGAGGACCAAATAGAACTTTGAAATACCTTTGCCAGGCCAGAACATCTTAGCGTTATCCAATTATAGCGTGAAACATGAACTCGCTTTAACTGAGCATGCTAAAATTAGAAACAGTGCTGCCAGATCGAATATATTCCATTCTGGTAGTCGGATACTGTGGCCAAAGATGCAGTGATGGATAAATGTTGGCCGTTTTGAAGTAGTTGGTCTATTGTGGCGGTGGGCTTTGTAAAATAAAGTTACAGGCTGTGTCCAGGCTATGGGAGCTCTAGGTTTCCCGCTCTGAAACCGCAACCAAAAACAATTGTTTTCCGATAGCTACATGCCTCGACTGTGCACCAGACCGTCTGTCCTGAGTTTTAATCTTCATTTGAGAATTAAAATACTTAGCATTGCACCCTTCATTGACATCAGCATGGTTTCACTCGCGTTATATTAAATATAACTTCACTTCAGTGATGTCACTGGTAGCATGCCCGTAATTTTCAATGTTTTTCTCATCGAATCATCAAAGCTGTTTTGGACAGACCAGAAGTTAAGACTTCGCCCCTCACTGTTGTTCCCTTTTTTTTGTGATCCAGTCAGAGGAGACGCACCCAATCAACTGGAAGCCCGAGATCCTCAAAAGGAAGAGGTTTTGAAAGTTCCGACTTCTCATGTTGTTTGCTTCCTTCTCTCTTCTGTCATACACGCATATGCTCTCAAATTGTTTTGGGTGGCTAATGCAGAACTGACATGGTAAATAAAGACTTTTTGAATATTGACGTTGTTATATTCAGTATTTTTTTAAACCCAAAACTAGGATAAGGTGCGAGTTAACATAGTCCTCAACTGCTGTCACTGTAAAACTGATGTATCGTTTTGTTATAAAAAAAATAAACGGATCCATCAGGATTATTTATCTTTATTGATTCGTATTACAACTAAAGTGATTAAAATAACATCCTGTACATAGGTGGTTTAAAAAAAAACATTTACATTTTATATTCTACTGTAGAGGTCTTTTGCAACTTCTTAATCACCACCCTGAACCATATTTTACACTTAATAGGCCTTATTACTTAATTAAAAGCCTTTTTCAACAAATCTTTCAGAAAAAGTATTACTCTCTTTGGGAAAGTAGTATTTTTGCTAATAGTTTGAGCAAAAATTGCCTTTAAACTAACTTTTGAATATGACCTCATTGGGTGGGATTCACATCTCGGTGAATGTCTCTTCAGCCTAGCAAGGATTAAAAGCCCTCTGCCAAAACATGATCGACTCCCCATATGTTTAATGTATTAATTAACCGTATTGTTCTAAGCATGAAATGTATAAATCTCCTTTTAGAGTCCAACCATTTTAGATACATTTTACATGGAACTTCATCACGTTTTCTACAAGAAGATCTGTCCATATCAGAATGTCAAAGACTTTGCCACATCCATACGTGTAACCTTTTTATCCAGCTGCTCTGCTGGCTGTCTTAACCAGTGCTTTTGTATAACCCTTAGGCCCCATTTCCCCTCCCACTGCACACCACCTCCATTCAGCAGTAGCAGTAGGACCCATTGTCGGCGCCTTGCTTGTCATCGGCCAGGTTTATGGCTGTGTCCTGGGCAGCCAATAGACGCGGCATGGCCATGGTACGCTGGCTGCGCAGCCTGTGGGCGAGTGTCAGGAAGATGGCCTCGGCATGATCGCCTGTGCCCTCTTGCTCCTTGGCGGATGTCTCAAAGTGTGCCATTCCGTGAGCATCTGCAAATTTCTGGGCCAGGGATGTTGGGACCTGTTGGCACACAAACATGAATGACACTTTTGTCAAGCCACTGCTGGATCAGAACCTTCCCACGCCGTGCAGGTCGTTTGTATTGCATCACCAGACATCACCTTGTTGGTCAGTACGGATTGGTACACGGCATGCAATATAGACATGGGAGCATAGAAGTATTGTACAATGATGAATGTTGCTGCCCTTCCCGCTGCTGTAAATAATGCAGCCACCTGTATAATCTGTTATGAATGGTGGATGCTGACCCAAACACTATTCAGGCTCAACCGTGCTTCCAAGATCTCGCACATTCTCCGTGCGCATAGGAAAAAATGACTGCATTAAATTTGCCATGTGGCACGTCCAGTTTTTGCCAACTTCAGGTTAAAAATAATGATTAAATTGGTATGGCTTTAGATTGAAAGTGTACAAGGTATGTTGGCCATGGTGTCACTCGCCTCCACTTTGTCTTTGAGGTCGCACTTGTTTCCCACGAGGACGCGAGGAGCGTCGGATGAACTGAGATGCCGCTCGCACTCGGCGAGCCAGCTCGGCAGGCTGAGGAAGGAGGGTCGGCTTGTCACGTCGTAGACGAACACCACGGCGTGCGCGTTGCGGTAGTAGTGCGATACCATGCTCTTACGGAAGCGCTCCTGGCCGGCCGTGTCCCAAAGTTGAAGCTGTGCACGGCGAAAATCAAAACAGTCTTTCTCCCCACGCATTTTTTTAATATTTGTCATTTTTGGTCCCAAAGCTGCCTATTTGTTATTGTAAAGTATTTTAAAGTCACTGCCGTCTGAGGGTGTTCATATGCTACGGCAGGTCATTTGGCCAAAGCTCACCACGCTGGTCAGTGCAGGTTGGTGAAGGTGGGAAACATAAAAGTAGAGTACAAAAATTGATTTGTCCCTAAGATTATAAAAAACATTCCAAAGAAATATTGGTGTCCAAGCCCACTCAACACTTGCCCACCAGAATGTATTGGCAAAAAGAGGAACACAATTATTTTGCTGTCTATATGAGCAGGTATTATGGAATGCAGTCATATTTTGGACAAATATAACTATCTTGTGTGGTGAATGTGCTTATTCCGTAGTGTGGAAATTGAGCCACTGCCTGTATTAAATGGCACACGCCAAGTACACCGTATACTTTTACTGTAACAAAATGTCTAGAATAGTATTGTACGTGATTTAAAAAAACGCCCAACTTGTTTGCTGTGAGCTGAAGCTGGCACATGAGTGTGTAAGTAACAGTGCCTTGGCAAAATATATTTAAACCCCTCCAAAGCGGCCAAACACTTTGGCGTTAAGGATTCAGTAGAGCTCTCAATGTACCCGCCAGCCAACCAGGTCCAGGAACGGCAGCATTTGATTGAGCTGCGTTTGTTGCTTGTAAACGTGGGTGAAATAAGTTCTACAATAAAGGCTATTCCAACCCTGAACCATGCCCTGGCCCTCATGGATCATCACGTGAGCTCCCATCAGCTGGGACGATAACTCCCTCTTGGTCAACCTGTTACTGGACTGGCCTGATTGTGAATTGTACTACTGTACTACTACGACGCTGTCATAATAATGTTAAACATACTCGGTAGGGCTCATGCCTACACTTTCGGATTACAAAAAATATAACCCAGGGTGCAGCTCGTCAGAAAGCCACTTCCCTGCCAAGAACCCAGAGGGTTAAATTACTCATCGCAATTATATGGCCTCATCAGTGAGGTCCCACCCATCATGTTACCGGTGAGGACACCACGGCCAAATCACGGAGCCCCGAACACTCGCAGGAGTTCGAGTGAAGTTTTGAAGTCGGGAGCCTATGGGGACCCCCACCCCATTTGTTGCCGTTCATCTTCGTGTTTCTATTCCTCAGTGTCACTTCCTGTACTGTAACGGTGTATCTCTGTCTCAATGCCTTCATGGACACCGTTTCTATGTCTCTGCATCTCTTCCTGAATGCAATGCCTCTCCGCATTCTTCTCCGTGGCTGTCGATTCCCGACGCCGTGCCCGAGGTCGCGATCGGTGTTTGACGCCGCATTTGCACCTCCATGCGCCCCAGGCTAATGACCTGTTCCCCGTAGACGCCGAGGCGGACTCTCGCATACAGAGAAACACGGAGCTTATAAAAGGCGTCGTGTCTCGTCGCACTTTGGACTCTCGCAAAAAGGAGCGCCAACCCAGAGGCAGGCGACCAGGGGGAAGACCTTGAAGCCAAGGTGGTGGTGGTGGACGACGTGAGACATAGATGCCAAGTTGAGAGGCGCGTTAAGTTGACCACATTACTGCTCTTGCCGTCCAACTCCACCCTTCACTCTCACCCTCGACTCGCCCTGTGCACCACCACCATCACCAGCAGCCAGCAACGTTTGTACCAGGCTGGGTGCACTTTGAGGCGACCACGTGAAGTGGTGGCAGGCTGGCTACTGGCAGAGTCACGGAACAGACACAGGTGTTATAGGTTAACTGATGTGTGCTCGGCTAGGTGCTGGTAACAGGACAGCACTAGGTGCCGTGGGCTGACTGAGATGGCTGGAAAGATGCACCATCCGCTGTGCCAAACCAACTCGCTTCGTTTTATCTGCCCGGCGCTCCGCCCGTTGTTGTGAGCGTCGCTCCTCCACCCACCGCTGTTGCCGGAGAGGGAGACGACGGGGGAAGGGAAGGTGCGAGTGAGAGCCTCTCACCTTGATCCTCTCGCCCTCCAACTCCACCGTCCTCTCGCGAAAATCCACGCCGATAGTCGCCTCCGTACGCTCGGGAAAGAGGCCGCCGCAGAAGCGGAAAGTGAGACACGTCTTGCCCACGTTCGAGTCTCCGATGACGATGATCTTGAAGATCCTGGTGCGCACGGAGCCCAGCGACAGCGACGTCTCGGCGGACGAGGTGGACCACACGGAGGAGAGCAAATCCGCGCCCGGGGCCTCCACGCCCGGGCACCGCGGCCCCGACATCGCAGAAGCGCCGGCCTCTTTCCGCCCGGAACGCATTGCGGGGGAGACGCGCGCAGTTTCCTACCCGGGACGACGGAGGCGTGGGGAGACGGCGCGCGCCCCCACGCGTGACACGTGGAGCGCCCGAGCACGTGGAAGCCGAGGAGCGGAATGCGCGGTGATGCGGCTCAGCCTGCGGGATGGTGTCCAGATGTCTTGTGACCCCCCCCCCACCCCCCCAAAAATTTTTTTTTGAACCGTCACTATTTTTGCTTTGCATGTTCATTTCTGTTTTAAATAAACCTTACTTTATTTTTTTCAGTTTTACAGAATTAAATGGGGGGGGGGGGGGGGGTCACAAGACATCTCTGGACCACTCAGTACACCAAACTTATATCACGTATAATATACAACACCGTACTCTCATACAACAATGCGTTATAATACGTGACAGTACGATACCATTAAACACGTATTACTCAGTTACAATACCATGAAATATACAACACGATAGATACTTTCAAGGACTGCGATGGATAAAACTGATTTCACATCGCATTATCGTTTCCAGTTTAATTTCAGTTTCATTTATGAGGTATAGCCCTGTGAGCCATGCGGCTCTTGACTCGGGCGCAACCGCAACAAACAAAACATGAACAAAGAACATCTTAACGTGACGACGCGCATCAGAAACATCTAGGAAAAACCAGCAAGATATTCCAGAAAAAAAGCACCGTATATCAAGCTGTGTGCAAAAACCCCAGTGGGATGCAAGTCAAACAATCATAAGATAATCACAAAAGTGAAGGATACATGACAGCGCGGTCTATTATTGTGTTTGTTCACACAAGAAAGCCTCGCCGATTAAATTCCAGGAAAGTTCCCCGCCAACTTCGCAGTAGAGGGCGATGATCGCCCAGCAGATTCTAATTGAGTCGTTCTGTACACCATACCTGGATTAAACATTGTGCATACAAGTACTGTGACAGCTCAATTCCATCCAGTGCAGTAAAATATACGGGCATACAACGTAGTGATGTACAAGATAGTTATATACACGATGCTTTCCAACAGTGTTATGCACGAAATAGAATAACCATTCAGCACTATACAATATCGCTGTAGACGCACTGGGGGATGCTGCCGTAGTTGCAAGGAACACTGCTGGACTTGCAATCCGAATGGTCGCCTGTTCGAGTTTGTCCGCCCAGTACTGCGGTACAAATGGGTACAGCCATCGTCGATCGCGTGTGGTGGGGTCAAGTGTGAGTACTCCCACCACTTCCAAGGTACTTGGCCAGCGTGGAAGATTAGGCCAAGAGGGCACTCTTAGGCCCGCAATTATTGACTGTCCACGTGGCCTACCAGTGACTGCTGTGTTATATGGATTAATTCTCACTTGATTGGTTGAGTGCTGTGTTATATTTATTAATTCTCATTTAATTGGTTGACTGCTGTGTTATTTTTCTTCATTCTCACTTGATTGGTTGACTGCTGTTATATTAATTCTCACTTGATTGGTTGACTGCTGTGTTATATTTATTAATTCTCACTTGATTGGTTGACTGCTGTGTTATATTTATTCATTGTCACTTGATTGGTTGACTGCTGTGTTATATTAATTCTCACTTGATTGGTTGAGTGCTGTGTTATATTAATTCTCACTTGATTGGTTGACTGCTGTGTTATATTTATTCTCACTTGATTGGTTGACTGCTGTGCAGATGGGTTCTGTTTTGTGATGATTTTCACCATTATTTTCCATGTATTCCTGGCCATTTTTACCCTTAACGTAAAATCTTCTTGAGCTATATTTGATTTATTTCGTCACATCTTTAATACTTGCACGTCTGGTCGTGTGTATGTGTATATGTGTGTGCGTAGGGGAGCGGTTAGCGCGATACAAATCCGGCGACCTGAGTTCGATTATAGAATGGCTCACCGGGCTATACCAAAATAAATAAAAAATAAACTGAAACTGACTCAGCCTCAAATGAGTACCTGGTGCGGTGTGTAAACATCGCCACCAGGAACACAAAAACGGCCAGGCGTGGTGTTGTCCACCCAGCCCCTCGTGTGCCGGTCCGGCCTTCATAGGTGCTCGCAAACAGCACTTGCCCCAAACAGTCCGTTAAGGCTATACGGGAGATCTTGGTCTTTGTGTGTCTAATACAATTGACATGATGTATGTAGCCTCACACCGTGATTTAAAAAAAAACCCGCTAAACCCATTTATCCGGACGGGGTGGGTACCACGTGGACTCCCCCACGTCACGATCCACGCCACATTTTACTTCTGGCCCCGGTCTCCAAAGCTATTCATTTCTTAGGCTTCTCGCGAATTCCTTTCACTCACAAGTCACCCGAGTGAGCGTGTGAGCAGCGACCAGGGCGGATTGTGTCTTCTTTGTTACGCGCCGGCTTCAAACGGGACGATAGTGTGACCTCGTTCAGTCGCAACAATCTTCATGCCGACCTCCGGCTGGCTGAACGCGACTGCACTGTGAAGGGGTTCGTCAAGAAGGAGACTTCCCCCCCCCCCCATCTCTCTTACACCTCCCGCCGTGTCACTCCGTCTCCTGCGAGAATGGCAGCTGTCTCGTCGCTGCTTCTGCTGCTGTTGGCCACGGTGGCCACTCCATGTGTCAGTGGCCGGGTGCCTTCGGCCAACAAGTGTCTGGTGTGGGGTCCGGGGTTACACACGGCGGTCGTGCTGCCCGCTCGATACTTCTTTGTCCAGGCGGTGGACAAGTCGGGAGAGAAGTGAGTAAACACCGCACTTTGATTCTCGCCGCTTCTTCCACGCTCATCTCACTGTGTTCGGGTGGGGATGGCTTGTGGGTCTGGAAGACGGTGAACTTACGGAGGGAGTTGACTCGGGGGGGGGGGGGGGGGGGGGGTTGCATTTCGAATGGGAAAGTTTCAACCAGGGCAGCTCCGATCTCAAAAAGTATATCCCGAAGTTATGCCTCGTCCCCACCCCCTAGGGCATCTCCGACTGACATTATTACATCCTGCGGGTTTCACATATTTTGTGCGCTTCGTGTGGCAGTCTCGTCGAAGCGTTTAAAAAACGTGACATTCATATCGTCTGCCATGATCAATCCACTGCTGCTGGATCTTCTCTCCAAGCTATTTCACCATCATGCGATGTTACTAATTGACCAGGCACTAAACAGATGATTTCGTTCTTTAAGTAGACACGGTAGTTTGGCTGGCAGATGAGCATTGTATTGGACTATACTTCTATGCTCCCACGTCTACGCTGTCTGAATTCACAAACTCGAGCGTTAACCAGTGTGGTATTGTATGGTCAAATAGCCCCCCCCCCCCCCAAACGTCCTGGCACCGGAGTATAAGACGCACCCCCCAACTCGTGCTTTGCACATACACGGGTGAAAATGTACGTCTTATTAATCCGGTGAATTATGGTGAGTGCCATCGGAGTGTGTAATGTCACGTGCCGTGCTCGTACAACTGTTATATAACACGCGGTCGTGCGAGCCGGGCACCCATTGCAGTCCCAGGAGGACATCCCCAGAGGGCATTTCGCACAACTTGTGTGGGTGGGTGATTGCCACGGCGAAGAATCGCCCCGAACGAACAACTCGCACACAGAACAGGAACCCACACATTTGAAATAATTGCATTGGGTTAACTTCCTCCTCCTGGGTGAGGCTTATAGAACCTTGGGCAAACCACAATTTGTCACGTATCTCACGGCCAGCTGATTGTAGTCCGCCTGGCATTTGGTGAGTGAAGACTGCTGAATAGAGGCAATTAGTTAAGAATGCAGGCTGGGTGTGCGTGCATGGGAAGCGGTAGTGTAGCGGTGAGCACGGCGCACTACAAACCCGGCCACACGAGTTCGATTCCCGCTCACGGCCAACACCAGTGAAAATTATCTGAAGCAGTCCTGGGCCTCCCCTAAGTCGACTCAGCCTCAAATGAGTACGATATTGTACTCATCGTCACTCAGGAGAAAAAAAGTGGCCGGGCGTGGTGCTAACCACCCACCCCCGCGTATGCCATGCGGACCTTAATAGGTGCTCGCTAACAGCACTTGCCCAGATAGACAGCCTGTTTAGGCTAAAACAGTAGGATCTTTTGTCTTTGAATGAATTAATGAATGGGTGTCAGCCGTGGAGCCAGAAAGAGGATGGGGTATGTGTCTTCCCGGAGCGCGAGCCTGCTAATGTTTTGCACGTGCAGCACATGGCCTCCAGGTGGTGACACTGGTGTTCCTGGCACACTGCTGGATAACCTGACCCAGAGGCCACCCGTGGCTTCATTTCTTATAGTTCGCAAACGATCTTTTCCGTCAGCGCAAATTCATGCGCACGGTGGCAATATGTTCAGGAGCTCAGTGCCAATGTGGAAGTCTGCTAGCCACCACGAGAGGGCTTCAGGAGAGAGTTCGTGTACTTTTGATATGCCTCTGATGGAGTGCAGACTACAGTGGCTTAGTTTATGGTCCAAAGTTTTGGTTGCTTGTTCCAGTTTTATAGCCGACACCCATTGGGTTGCATGCCAATAGCTTAGATGTACTCATCGGAAATAATAGAGGAATGGTTTCATCCTGGCAACATTGTATTTCTAATTTTAGGGCGTGCGGTCACTGCAAAGGACTTATTTTATATTCAGTGGATACACGTGCCATTATTCACGCTATTGGATAACGTCGTTGTGCGTGTTGATAATGCGTGGCCCACCAGATGTGTTTGAAAGTCCTGTTCCACCCTCGAGAAGGTAAACATTCCCCTACTCCTGCCTGCGGGGGTGAGAATACAAATAAGTTCAACAGCCTTACAACAGAGGCTAATAAATGGAGACGATAATATTTTCAATGAACAGATGTAAAAACACATTTACTTGATTGTTCAGTGCCCATATGAAATGAACTCGGCATTTACAACACAACCATCTTTTAATCTGGATGTAAGGAGAGTGGCCACAACAACAATTTGAAGTGACGTAGCATCGTGAAATGCAATCACATTTCAAAATGCTTTACACAAAAATAAACTACAGTTGGAAACTTGGGAGATAGAGAGAACAACAACTGCAGTCCTTC